CAAAAAAAGCAGCAGCAAAACAACAGCTAAGGAGAGAAGGGGGAAGAAGGAGTTAAAAAGATAAATTTAAAAAAAAGTAAACCTCATTTTTCTTCACTTGTAACATTGCTTTATTGGATATTATGTGCTGTAAAAATATATTTATAAAAGGGTTCATACAGGAGTCACTGACAGCCGATCCCAGCAATTTAAGACAACTCTAGAGCCATGGTGGGGAAGGATTGTTCGGGGAGTATCAGGTATGACCAAGTACTTCAATTACCTTTTTCTTTTCTTTTTTGGACATACTTGGCAAGTCCAAGGTCCTTAACTAGTTAAATATGGATATGACATACTTTTACAATGATCCTCTGATATTGTGCCAGTTAAACAAATAACTAGAAATGTGTGTATATATATATATATATCTATATATATATATATATTATATTATTTAGCATAAGTCCTTTATTACACAGGAATAGATGCCATCCATGCTTTATCTATCTAAAGTATATGTAAACCCCAACAATGATTTTATTTTTTTTTTGCTCTCTTTTGGTCTGTTACATTTGCAGTAAAACTATTTTGTTATACTGTATATGTTATGTTATAAGTGCAAAAAAAACCTGTTGGCCTGTGCTGTCTTATTCCATGTGCTCTACAGTCTTATCTCAAACAATGTTTTCAGGAATTGTGTTAGGACTACAGAAAATGTGTTAATGGCAGAACCAACAGGTAAAAAAAAAGAAAAAGAATCCAGAACAACAGAAAGCTAATTCAGTCACCACATTTAAGGACTCGAAAGCTGCAATAGACTCAGGTCACAAAGTGTAAACAGAAAGAAAAGGAATAAATAAAACCTCTGACAGCTTTTTTGCCCTTGGTTATCCACTGCGAAGATTTACCTGCACTTCCTGATCTGTACACACAAGAAGACAAATAATTCTCTTAACTGTCACAACAAGTGTCCCTATTGGACAATTTCCCCTCTATTTCAGTTCTGGTAACAGCTACTAATTGTGTATTTCTGGTCGATTTCAGTCCTGGTGATAGTGATCCTACATGATTGATCAGACATGGGTAAAGCACAGGTTTGCTTTATGCTGAAATGGGATATGATTTACAGATCATGTTTAGAACATGGTCATAATGCAGGTTCTGCTCTAAATCTGTTTCATTCTTTTAGTGTTTTGAAAGAGAAGCACAGATTTTTATTTGTGAAAATGTAAATCACCAGCTGACCACTGAATAAAAAGCTCTTACATAACAATATTAGACTTGTATGCAGGGTGTAATTTGCTGCTTTTTAAAGATCTTTTTAAAAGAACCTGTCTATACATAATCGAAAAACAATCTACAGATGTCTGCAGTCACACTGACATATCCAAGAAGGTAGAATGTTACAGGATCCAGCTTTAAGGCCTGGTTCACAGAGGAAAAAGTGCGCCAAAATGCTTAACAAAAAAAAAATCCTATTCATTCTTATGGTCCCTGTTTACACCTGCGCGCTTTGTCGCAATAAGCAGAATGCCTGTCGCTGGAAAAACAACATGAGCTTCTTTTTGGCATCTTATCCCAATAAAGTCAATAGGAAATGCTTGTAAACACGTATTTCTACAAGCAAAAACGCTGTCGCCTAGGTGGGAAGGGAGCCAGGGATCGGCAAGGTGTACGTACACGGACATGAGTGTCTGTGAGTGGCCCTTACAGGGTCCACGGCCGTGGCCTACAGTGCGGTTGCAAGGGACTTAGTTTGGTCCTGGCCCCAACTCCCCCTGTACAATTGTAGTATTTGGTACCTTCCAGTGAGTGTAGGAAGGGTTTTTTTATTGGGGGGGCGGAGCTTGCTTTTTAGCGTGCAGGAGTGAAGAGCAAGGCAGGAGCCGAGGCTGCTGGAGTGGAAAGAAGGGTAAGCAGATGTCTGGGGCTGGGGACAGCAGCAGCTGAGCTTGGTGTCCAACGTGGGGGGGTGGGGGGTAAGCCATTGCAGAGGACAGCACTACTGTACTCTGCAAAGGCTCACCCCCCCCCCTCCAGCGTCGGGCCCCTTTTTAGCCTTGGGCAACTGCTGCTGCTGTGCTTTATAGGAAATGTTTTATTTTGTGGGTTTTTTTTATTATTGTGTATGTAGGGTAGAGTTCTTTGACTTGTTCTGGTGTATTTAGGGAAGTTTGGTTTATTTTAGTTTTTTGTGTTATTTGTTGTTTTTTTTGGTGTGTCGTATAGTAGTTGGTGTACTTTTGCTTTAAAATGTTAATTTTAAATTTCTTTCACTGTCAGCCAGCTGGCTGCTTTAGGTCAGTCCCTGCATTGAGAAAGCCCTGCATGAAGGACATTGCAAGTGGGGGAGCCACAGTACACAGAGGGCTTGTACAGTCAAGGTTGTGACATGGAGTCTACAAAGCCTCATTGAACACCAATGTTGTGGCATGATTTCCCTCTGTCACAGGGGCACTGTTACTCCCACTAACAGAGGTACATTTTGTACTCTCAGTGACCAACAACACTGGGACACTTTGCACTCTCAGTAACCACACCAATGCAGAGAAAAGGCTCAAAGGCTGAATAAGGGCCTGAGTCTGGGGGAGAAGCCTTTGATGAGGACAGCAGCAGCAGGCATTTTATAACAGTATACCACAAGCAGTCTTTATATAAATGTTATTTTAAACTTATTTGTACTTGTGGAACTAAGCCAGAGACGAGACAAAGGTTTTTTTTGATGGTTTTAATTTGAAATGTACCTTGGTGTCCTTCACTAAGGTCTGTACTCTGGAAAATGTCCACAGCTTTGGTCCGTGCCTATCCCTGAATGGAGCATGAAGTGGAAGGTTACATATTTAAAGGGTTTGTCCAGTCAAAGCAGTTGTTATTTGATGTTGGTGAAATAAATACCACTGCATACTCATAATTCACAGAGACGCAACAAATACAATTTTCCTGCCACAGAACAATGCATGATGTGCTCAGACCTAGGAGTACTGCTACTCCTACTGCTTCCTGTAAGGCATCTGTGGTCGAGGGAACTTGCAATTCCCAAACTAACCTGAGAGGGTACTGCTTTCTTTGAGGATGCAATCCACATTACACACTTCTACTATCTATCTATCTATCTATCTATCTATCTATCTATCTATCTATCTATCTATCTATCTATCTATCTTTTAAAAGAAGCTGCAAGAAAACAGCATCTCTTGATAACTTTGACTCTGCACATGTAGAAAATAATGCAGCTGCTGAATCTCTATAACATCCTCTGCATCGACTATTTCCATACAGCTCGTTTACACGTTTCTCCTGCTGATAGACCACAAAAGAGCAGAAAGTATTTAAGTGTTTGAGTAAAACATCCACTGCGGGAAAACGTCTGGACAATAAAAGACCACATCATACTCAAAGGTCCCCTGAAGTGAAAATACACCACTTTCAGCTCACTGAAAAAGTAATTAGGAATTTATTCTCTCATATATAACATTTACCTGCACTACTATGACAAAACTGAAGCACTCTCATGCAGTAGGCAAGTCCCTAATTACACATTACCTCTTTAATCCTTTGAATTCCACTTTGCTGCACCCATTTTTTTGAAAACAGTTCCTTTGCAGCTTTTCTTACTTACGTTTTCAGACCAAATTGCCCTACTTTAACAAACAGTACACTGTGAACAGCTGTGGTTGTTGTGAAAATATGTCCTTTCAGTAAATATGCCCACACTATAGCCAACAAGAAACTGGGCAAAAAAAAAATGTGTTTAGTTAAAGTGACATTAAACCCTCAGATTTTTTAACATAAACCAATACTGTAATGTGTGCCTTACTGTAATCCATGGTAGTTTCCCTTCTCTTTGCTGCTCTTCCTTTTAAATCTGTATCTGTTCTCATGCTGGGCAGAACTTCTGTTTTGCAGCAGACTGCCTTGTCTCTGGAATGGCTACATGGTGTCTGTGTGTACGTTTGCAACCTGAGCCAGCACTACAGGAAGAGGCAGTCAGCTGCAAAGGGAAGTTCTCCCCAAGCATGAGAAGACATGAGGATTTAAAAGGAAGAGCAGCAAAGAGAAGGGAAACTACCATGAATTACAGTAAGGCACACATTACAGTATTGGTTTATGTTAAAAAATCTGAGGGTTTAATGTCACTTTAAATAAAAATACACTGCCTGGCCAAAAAAGTCAGTACCTGGATTTAGCTAAACAAATTGGTAAGAGCCTTCCATTGGATACTAGGTCTAGGTTCAGCAACCTTATGTGCCCAAAAAATGAGGTCAGCTGCCTACCTGTATATACTGAACGGCCTGATGGCACGGGCTTATTCCAATGCCAGGATTCATCGGGCTCAATTTGTGAAAGAGTGATTCAGGGAGCATGAGACATCATTTTCACACATGGATTGGCCACCACAGATCCAGACCTTAACCCCATTGAGAATATTTGGGATGTGCTGGAGAAGACTTCATGCAGTGGTCCGACTCTCCCATCATCACTACAAGATATTGGTGAAAAAATAATACAACTCTGGATGGAAATAAATGTTGTGACATTGCATAAGCTTATTGAAATGATGCCATGCACTTGTGTTATAGTACACCACAAAGTACAAATGGGAGCACAGTTGCATTGTAGAGTGGTGACTTGACATGTTACTTAATTTTTTCATGCACATAAAGTGGATTGACAACCCATGAAAAAAAAAATGCATTGCCTTAACGCAACACATGTTGATGCACCAAAAAAGCCTATTAACGTGGGTGTATAAATGCAGAGAACCATTGTGAAAGGGTAAAATGGGGGAAAAAATGGGTTAAAAGGGTAAAAAATGGGTAGATAAAGCTAATCTAGGGCATTGACATTTCAATCCCAACTCCTTACCTTCCCAATACCTTTGCAGTGGGGCACCTTCACCTGCAAGGGTTACATGTTCATTTTGCGTAGGGCAATAGCAATAAGTATTAATACTTACCTTATTCCTTGTTCCCGCAGATTTCCTACCAGCTGCACTATTGGTCCCCTGAAACAGCATAGCTTCACCGCTCCTCCAGGGCTAGATTTCCAATGTCATCGTGTACAATGCAGGACCAGGAGGGCCTGTCCACATCCCGAGATGTCGGAGAGCATAGAAGAGCATCGGCTGCCGGGGAGCAAGGACTAAGATAAGTATTACTGCTTATAAGTATCTCCCTAGACAAGCATTACAATTTTTACAGCTGACTGGAGTTCAGATTTAATTAATTTTGCAGTAAAATTTAAGGTGTTTGATTATAATTTGTTTTCTTCTTCACACTTTAATAAAACACTGCATAGATGTGAGATAAAAGTGTCTCAAACAAATAATTGTCCCCGATATCACAATGCAAATCCAGCTGAGCAAATAAAGAGCAGAAGGTAAATCTATTCTCTCTATACAATGTATGGTATTTCTATTGAGGCAGAGAATAAAAGAGAAGCAAAGGATTTCCTCTTTTCAAACAGAAGGAAATGTGCATGGTATGAATATTAATGAGGCAAATGTAAATTCCATAAAACACCATAGCGGTGCGTCCATGAATATGAAACATACAATACACAAAGTCAATATTTACATATTTATTTCACTACCTTCATTATACCTTCTAAGGGCAGATTCTTACATATATTACATTTTACAAATTAGCAAAGGACATCCTATGTCTCGTCAGCTACAGAAAACTCCTGCAGCAACCAGCACAGGACAGATGTCTAGAGGTGAGGAACGGATATGAAATTTAAATTTTGAACTAATTTGAGCTATATGGAGTATCTGGTTTGTGGAAAGCAAACTGAACCTCCACCTGCTACCACACCCACAGTGCCCAATCTACTCTGTCACTCTGACTGTGTGTCAGTAGACAGTGGCGGACCTAAGGAACAAAGGGCCCTGGTGCAAGAAGCTGGATAGCAAACTTGCTGGGCTCCCCCAGCCTGAGGCCCTGGTGCGCCCACACCGCCTGCACCAGCGGTAGTTCTGCCACCGTCAGTAGAGTTGGCAGTGTGTCAGGGACCAGAGCTCCTCCGGGTGGCACTGTGGAGCTGGAACCTGATCCTGCAGTTCCAGTGCTCGCCTGCAGGTGTCTGCTAGCAATTAGTCACCACCTGGTGCTGCTCTGGGAGGGTATTTAACCTCTCCCTGCTGTGAGGCCTCTGCCACAGTCCTGACCCTTACCCCTGAGGTTTTCCTGACCCTTACCCCTGAGGTTTCCCGATCTGTGGCTCCCGGCCCTCCTCTTGTTGCCCTGCTCCCCAGGTTATGAATGGCCCGTACAGCAGCCCTTCAGTTCTACTGAACCGCAGGGGTCCTGGGGCCGAAGCTACGGCTAGATCCTTCGACAGCTTAGTGAATAGACCCCACAATGTTTTCAGGGCTGTAACCCTATGTTAAGACAAACAGTCCTGCCCATGTAGTGTACAAGTGATAATGGTACACGGTACAGAAAGGGTTAATTATTTGAAACAAGACTCCCCCAACCCCCCAGACAGTGAGAATCTAGCAGGAGTTTTCAGTCCTGAAGTTAGCAGAAAGAGCACCAAAAAAAAGGTAAGTTGCAATTTTTATTATGCTATGTGGATGAGAACATGTAACAAATATAAAGTATGTGTTATTCCAATCTGGCTGCATAAGTGGAAATACACTTTCAACTGGCCATGAACGGGCTTGAACTTTGGAAGATTCCTGCTGAATCAAGCCTAAATCTGAACCATTGATGGATGTGAGGATGCCAGGGGCCTGCCCATGACCCAGAGGTTACATGAAACTGCTGGTTTCCGCAAGGGATAAGGTAAGTAAAGGTGCTTTTTAATGGTACCCTAGGCAAAAATGAGAATCTAACCCCTGGTAGTTTTGTAATGTATCTGGAGTTCAGCTTCAAAATATGGATTGTGACTATCTAGCTGACAGCAGATGTCTGGGAGGAGGAGACAGCACGCATTACATCATGTCTGTATAGCAAGTGCTTGAAGCAGTGCCCCCTAGTGGGGACATACTGTACTAACATCAGTTGCTACTGCTATTAAAAATAGTGGTGCGGTGTGTTGGATCAAGTATGGCACACTGTGCACTGATTGACAACACAGGCACCTATGGGAATTAGTTTCAAGGGACAGGTAGAGGGAATTACCTAGTTCCCAGGCCCAGTGGAGAAAATAATGCAAAGAAACCTGAAAAAAAAAAAAAACAGGGGTGCAGAGGTAAGAAGTTCTCAATGAAGGGTGCAGATGTTAACCATTTAAGGGGTACGGGGGGTCCAGTGGTGAGTGGCAGATGAGCGGTAAGAACTAGACTGTGGACTAAGGGTGCAGAAATGTAGCATAAATAATGGAAACATTTCAGGTTTTTAAAAATCATTGTGAATGATCAGGGCTTGAAAAATTTGACGGTGTCTCACCAGTCAGTCAAGATAGAGCTTTCTTTTGTGACCCCACGGGGAGTTTTAAATGTGCATCCATAAACAAAGCCACAAAACCAGTTTATGACCCCACAATGATTCTCATAGACCTTACATGTTATATATACTTTAATATTCATACCCAGTGCTTAAAGAGATCTCGTGCTGATTGCCAATACATGAGAACACAAGTAAGGCATATTGATATGCGGTTTGTGTTTAAGTGACAGTGCCACCTACATTTATGAGGTTTACCAGAGAGAGCGGAAAGAAAAACAAAGTGTGCTAGGAAGTTTAGAAATCAATAAAATGCATTTTGCACTTTATGATCCAAAGGCCTAGGATTCACATTACTAAAGCCACAGACTAATAAGTGGTTGGCAAAAAATATGTATTCCATTTGATAAATTATTCTAATAAAAATGAGTCAGCAGTGTTGCACAAAGCTGTCTGGACTTTCTCCAACTTCCTACTGTCTGCAAGGATTTCCTGCTCGGTCCTCGTTAGTACAAATATTCACTTGACACTGCCAAAATGTTTATATGAAGGTAACGTGGATGATGCTGTGACAGATGAGTGGCTGATTTAGGACATGGAGACTGGAGAGAGGAAAAACAAGGGGTTTAGAATTTGAGACAACTTCAGTTGATTAGGGACTCTTTCTTCCCAATTTTTGGTCAGCATGGATTACTAGTTTTTGTTATCAATATTTCGAAGCAGATATTACTTGGATATATTCTATCTTGAAGTATCTGAAATGTTTCCCTTCAAAAAGACCTGGCATTCAGGTGTAGCTAGGGCATTGTGTAGTGAATGTAGCCTGGCTGCCGACCCTTTAAAGGAGAGATATTGGGAGAGTAAAATGTACTCTTCCCAATACTTTGAGCTGGCGTGTGGCACTGCAGATTTCACATGCCGGTTCTATAGATAAAGAACTAGCGATCACAAGTTGCTGATTTTTCAGCTCACAGTCTTCTACATGTAGAGAGCAGTGACCATCAGTCATCACTCCCGGCAGGAATTCCCCCTCCCCTTTCTGTTCCTCCAGTACTCATTGGGACACAGCTTGCTTTGGCTTTAGAGGCAGAGCCAGAAAAGCCTCAATCAATATTTACAGAGCAAATCAGTTAATGATTTTCCGGATTATATATACACTATATTGCCAAAAGTATTGGGATACCCCTCCAAATCATTGGATTCAGGTGCTCAATGAAATTCCTTGGCTACTAAATATTCCACTGTCAACTATTAGTGGTATTATAGCAAAGTGGAAGCATCTGCAAACAACAGCAACTCAACCACGAAGTGGTAGGCCATGTAAAATGACAGAGCGGGGCCAACGCATGCTGACCCGTACAGTGCGCAGAAGTTGACAACTGTCTGCAGAGTCAATAGCTACAGACCTCCAAACTTTGTGTGGCCTTCAGATTGGCACAACAACAGTGCCTAGAGAGCTTCATGGAATGGGTTTCCATGGCCGAGCAGCTGCATCCAAGCCTTACATCACCAAGTGGAATGCAAAGCGTCGGATGCAGTGGTGTAAAGCACGTCGCCACTGGACTCTAGAGAGGTGGAGACGTGTTCTCTGGAGTGACAAATCACGCTTCTCTGTCTGGGAATCCGATGGACATTTCTGGGTTTGGCGGTTGCCATGAGAACGGTACTTACCTGACTGCATTGTGCTAAGTGTAAAGTTTGGTGGAGGGGGGATTATGGTGTGGGGTTGTTTTTCAGGGGTTGGGCTTGGCCCCTTAGTTCCAGTGAAGGGAACTCTTAAGGTATTAGAATACCAAGACATTTTGGACAATTTCATGCTCCCAACTTTGTGGGAACAGTTTGGGGATGGCCCCATCCTGTTCCAACGTGACTGTGCACCAGTGCACAAAGCAAGGTCCATAAAGACATGGATGAGCGAGTTTGCGGTGGAGGAACTTAACTGGCCTGCACAGAGTCCTGACCTCAACCCGACAGAACACCTTTGGGATGAATTAGAGTGGAGACTGCGAGCCCGGCCTTCTCGTCCAACATCAGTACCTGACCTCACAAATGCACTTCTGGAAGAATGGTCAAACATTCCCATAGACACACTCCTAAACCTTGTGGACGCCTTCCCAGAAGAGTTGAAGCTGTTATAGCTGCAAAGGGTGGGCCAACTCAATATTGAACCCTACGGACTAAGACTGGGATGTCATTAAAGTTCATGTACGTGTAAAGGCAGGCGTCCCAATACTTTCAGCAATATAGTGTACACACACACACGACCTGGAAGGACTTGTTTCTTTGTAAAAAAAAAAAAAATGGAGCATCATTTCGAAGATTTAAGTTGGAAGACCTGCCAAGCATAAAATAAATTTTAAAGGAGAACTATGGGGTCAGTGTTTTTCCCCATAGTTCTCCTTAGGGTAACGGGAGAACCCTAAGGGTAACGGGAGAACCCTAAGCTCAGTATACCGCAAGCTACAGCTCGCGGTATACTGAGACGCCGCAGCCGGAGCGGATCCCGACGTAGATGACGGGATCCGCCCAGCTGCGTGAGTGACAGCTGGCTCTGCCTATATCACTCATCTCATAGTTCTCCTTTAAGGACTACTAAGTACTACCAAAAAATGACTAATACTGTTATTTTGAAGATATGGGTTCCTCTTTAAGGCCACATTTTCTTATTTAAGATAGAGCAAGCCTGTTTGTTTGAGTTATGTCAGTTACGAAATTGTAAATATTCAGTGTGTTAGCTGCTTAATACAATTATTATTACAGAACTGAATACAATAAAAGTATTTA